GATTTACGACCATCAATACAGGGTCGAATTCTTCGGATTTCACAGCGACTTTTACGAACCCAATAAAGCAAATTTGTTTACGCCATCAAATAAATTTCAATCAGGCCACGTATTATTACGCGTATTGATTCTAACGGTCCCCGGCCGCCCAAAATGGACACGAAATGTAAACAAGGGATACATATTTTGAGCAAATGCGCCCCATAAATAAATAAGAGAGGATCCGATTGGAATCCCGACCGGAAACCGACGATTCACGCACTCCGAAATAGAACGTCGGCATTTCCGGAGCTTCCCCACATATTCCAGGCCCCAGAAGACCGCCCGACCGAACCGAAATGTATTGGGTCCGGTAGCTGCAAGCTCTCACGTGACAAAGCTGCAACGTTTGATCCCGCTTTAAAAGATTAAAGCTCGTCTTTCTGAAAGATGACACATAAAGGATAAACCCCTCCGACAACATTCGCCGAGAATTTAAAGTAAACTGTAAACACACTTAAAAGGAACCTCTAAGTAGCTATTAAATATGAAGTTCCTTTGACGACTTTGTTTATCTCGATGAGCGAAATAAGAGACTTTCACTTTGAGCGCTCCAAATTATACATCTGTATGTTAATATAAAGATAAAGGACGCAATTACATAAAAGAATATCGGATTTTGCGCAGCTAGGCGACGCCCCACCGACCTGTCAATCCAAACTTTTCCTCCCCGAATACACCCCGACCGGCGTGCCGAATCTCGCCCCCCTGCGCCCACTTTTTCTCGGTGACCTTGAAACCCGCCGACGCTCGCCATTTCGCCCGCGCGCCTCCCCCGGGGTCGCGGTCCGGCTCAAACGTTTCGGCTCGCCGCCCCCCATCTTCAATCAGAATCGCATCAATATTGCAAAAAAGGCCACCTTTCCCGGCTCGGAATGGCCCCCACAAGCCATATGATTAAAATTAACCGCCGGAACCGAACGCCTGCCCTCGCTGAAAATTTCATTATACGTCTCTGACCCGGTGACGAACGGGCTTCCAGACGAAAAACCAGGTTTGATTTGAAGTTGTGTTTTTGTATGTAAATCCGGGTTTTGCGTGCTGGATGCACGCGGATCCGCGACACGCATTACGCAAATCCGGGAGTTCGCCGGAACGTGTCGGAGTTTTGGTCGGAATTGGCTGCAAAAATCCGGGCTGGACTTGTCGAAAGGTTGGCTCCGGGTAATTAAGTGGTGGCGTTACGGCTGTGATTGGGGCTGCTTTGATCCGATTTTAATTAGCTTATTAGTGAGTGCAATCGAGTTGGGCGGTGATTGTTTCCGGGGTAATTATTGCGGCGGGATTTGCTCTGGAACGGGGATTTCGTTCCGCGGGTGTTTTCTTTAATTGGTTTGTGGGTGTTGAGGATGTTAATGACGAAACAGGTGACTGTTATTTTTCCTGTTACGTAGAATTTCGGGCTCGTATTGTGGTTAAATATTTATGAAGGCTGAAATGAAACGAATTAATGAATAAAGTTTAATATCAAGCATAAACCAATTTCATTTACACGAGGTAGTGGGTCCGGGATGATGAGTGGAAAAGGCGTTACAATTAAACTTTTGGGTGAAGAGGACTGCGAGACAGGGGGAGTACAGGCAGAAATAAAATGACCACCCTTCAGAACCTTTTGTGTTTTTGAAAACTGATGCCGTTTAATATGTAGGCTATCCGTAATGGACCCATAACCGGTTCGTGTTTAATGTAACTGCAACCAGTCCAGCTTTTATCTTCTAGTCATATACATAATATTTATCCACTTGTCTTTTTGTGTATGAAAGCGCATCCATCCGTACATTTCATTGTGTGCACAGTATGACGTAAACCCTCTCTGCAGACTCATAGTTGCCGTTATCGTGAACACATCTCACAGCTACATGATGAATAGAAACGCCACTAAAATCTGGCAGTGTTGGTTTATTCCAAAAGGAACAAGTTGTAATACACCGAATATTGATCCGCCCCTCAACAATACAACTATATCGGATCCAATACAGTGCGAACTTTAAATCTCTCAACAAAATCGCAATATAGTCGCAAATTCCGGCGACATATTACATTCGCCCCCACCACTTCCTAACACCCTCGTACACAAATGGCCCCGCGAGGGGAGGCTGTCCATAAATCTCCCGCAGATAATTTACGAGAACCTGAGGGTGCGAAGCAGACGCAACGTCCGGTTAATAAGGCTCCGTTGAACTTAATGAAACTTTTCCAATATGAGGGTGAGCTCAGATTTCGAGATCAAACATAAGCTGGGCGAACGGCGCCGCCTGAATATAAAGAAGCTGTCGATGAAACCGTTCCACATAAATTCGCACCGGTCGCTAATAATCTCCCTCTCCAAATCGAGATTTACAGCCGACAGTCGGAACAACGCGCACTTTCGATTTTAATTAAAACATCGAACGCGAAAAATCGAAAGGCAACATTCTTCCGGCTAAAATATTCCATTTGTACGCAAATATCCTTTAAACTTCCGCCGGGTTTAAACTTCCATTCCGTGTTTGAGTTTTGCGCAATTTTAATTGTGATCGAGCAAGCGCCAGCGAAACACCTCCCCGTGGGGCTTTGTCATCCGACATTAAGAACGCCCCGCCTACGATGTTTGAATTTATTGTGACTGCGGAGGTAAGTTTTGGATTTAGAGCTGGAGCATTAATAAAACGATTGTGGGGAGCCGAATACGACGAGACTGCGAGCGGCCGACCTCATTGAAGATAGACGCCGTTCTCACGAAGCGTTTAAACCTAACGCGGCTGTCGTAGCCCCCACACTAACCGAGAAATCAGCGTTCGAAGTTTTCAAGGTCACCGAGAAAAAATCGCCGCAGAGTCACCAAATTTGGCACACACGTTACTGAAGCCGTCAGGAACAAAAGTTTAGCGTGGTTTTTGCGTACGACCCCGCTGGAGAAAGTTACGGGCGGAAGAAGAGTTTATACGCGGCGCGTGAGGTCTTTGACGTCCGGATTGACAAATCAAATAAAACAACGCGGTGATTCCCCGCAGAAGTGAATAATTGAATCTTTCGGACAACGGGTCCGGATAAATAAAAGTTGGTCGAGTTGGTGACAGCTATCACCGTCGGGAGCGGCTGCGGCGAAACACTAAAACATCTCGAAACTCAGGCCGAGAGGTCCGTAAATTGGCTAACAAGTTTACCTATAAATCTTTCTTTTTTTGTTGTGTCAAACTGCTCTTGCTCGTGAGACCTGTCCTTATCGCTTGGGATTTTTTCTAACGAAGGAACGGCGAACGTCTTATTGTCCGCAAATATGACGGTTTTATCGCGCGCAGGCAGCCGCCGCCGGGACATCCCGATATCTTAAGTAACCCTCGTTTAATGGAATTTGGACGGTACAAGAGAAGAGCGATCGCGGGGGCGACTGTAATGGCTCTTAATTAGCATTCGGGAAAAAGTCGGCTGCGGTGGCTCCCCCCCCCATTACTCAGAGCAAGCAAAGCAATATAAATTGGTCTTTGTCGGGCTCGACTTACAAGTCCGCACTCTTGTAGCTATCCGTCTTCACAATTCACCGCCTCCCCAGATTGATTAGGTGAGTGACTAGTTTAAGGATAAGCCGTACAAGGGAACGTGCTTGTGTGTTTCGTGTGTCTTGTTCGGCGCGATTTATTCGATAGCTGATGAATTATTCAAACGAGTTAAAACACAGGGCGTTAAATGTTCGTATATGCAAGGGATCTGTTAATTATTTAGGCCGGTTTGCAGAAAGGGTGTCGTAATAATACTGTTACGGTCACGTTATTTCGGGTTTAGGTGTCTGCACGAACGTCCGAATCGGGCTAGCCTAAATGAAACGCATAAATTTCTTCTACGACTAAATAGAAATCCGCGGGGAATAGAAATCGTCCTAACGAGTTTTCAAGGTCGTACGTGTGCCGAGTCAAATATACATGTTCGCGTATCGTCACATTGAATAGAATTCGCCTTAAAGACGGCGTCCGCATAAGAATCAGCCCCAATTTCGGCGAGGTCGTCGTTTTTATTTCATGCCGACCACCTTCCGCCTGTTTAAAGAGTGAGAGTTCCGGCGTTGTTTCGCCCTAAATTTCACTTTCGGCTTCGATTTGGTTGGCTTAGCGCGACCATTCGGGACAACATCGTTTAAAACTTTTATTCCTATCCAAGATCACAATCCCATTTCCATATTTATGCAGATCCTCGCCGCTCCCTCCGCTTTTTAACAGATTCTCCCATTCAGGCTCCAACTTCGTTAAGACGGGAAATGGAAAAATCTGCGAACGGAAGAGTCCCCCGGCTGTAGTTTTTATTTACGTCAATAACGGATCGAAATGTCCGATTCAATTTCGGCAGTGGCGCAGGCGGCGTCATCGCGCCCCGTTTTTATTTAATGCGTCCCCGCCCGCTTTGACTGTGTTTAATTAATAAAAACAAAGGGCCCAGTGGAGCGCGAACTGATAAATTGGGACGGAAACGGAGCGGGAGCGGCCTTTGATGCGACGTAAGGGTGCAAAGATGACAGCTTCATGTTCTCGATTGATTCGCGTTCGATAATTAATTAATTTAGTGGAGCGGTTTCGCAGTGAAAACACGCCGGCTCGATTTAACGACCAAAGCCAACTAATCAAGAGTCGATCTTTTGCCGCAGACCCTTTATCCGCCATCTTGCTTAAGTGGACACTCGTCCGGCGATAAAAGCCATAAAGTTCCGGACATCGCGGTCCGGAAGTTGGCGCAACTAAAGCTCCGGATAAAAACAAATAAATCAGATTCCGGAGGGTCCGGTACATGCCATAAATCAGGGGCGGCGCGATCGAAAGCACCTGTAGGCGTCTCGCTCCGCGCACCTCGCGCCCAAAAATGCCCATTTACACACGATACATCAAGATTAGTGTCCGCTTGGTGCGTTCATTCATCAAGATACCGCCGCCTGGCCATTTTTCGACTCCATATTTATGTTTCCTTATGTCGCACTTACGGACATATTTTTCCAGAGATCGCCATGTTGCTGCCCGGATCGCTGTCCCACAGTAGAACGGCGAACGCGACGAGCGACATACGCAAGAACTTGCGGCTGAGGGACCCCGAGGCCTACCCCCAATACGATCCCCAGAAGACGTAAGTACCCATAAACGCACCCTTAGTCCATATATAACACTTTACGTAAGCAACATCAAGTCGGCCATTCCCTCGTGATATTACGCATTCATTCCCACGGTTTTCCCCGGGAAAACATAAAATACATTCGCTTTATATTGTGACGTTTCACGCTTATAAACTGCTGAATTATTTTTAAAACGTCGCCGGAATAAAGCTAAACAACCGACCATCGATCAATTAATTTAGACCGCGATAATCTATCATAGAGATTAAATTGTACACGTGTACAGATTAGGAAGTGATTTATAGCCCCGCCGCTCGAAAAAACCGATAGAAACCGCGAAATATGACGGCTACTCCCGGCAAGATTTCTTCCCCGACTTCCCCACGCGATTGAAGATAATACGCCTTGAAACGAAACGTCTGACCTCAACCGCACTCTCCTAGCTCCACGATTAAAGAAATTACGAGCTCGGGAAGTTTTCAAGGTCACCGAAAAAATTTAATCGCAGCGACGCGAAATTTTGCACGTGCTTTCTCACCGCCACCCTGGATAAAAGTTTACTGTAGTTTTCGTTTCGCATGTATAGCGCACCTGCAGTAGTGCCTCGAACGGAAATTAGGGATTTAGATGCTTCTCGGTAAAGCTTTAGAGTGTCCGTTTAATTGAAGATTGCACTTGTCGCTCTGAAACATTTAAACTTGATCCCGTGCTCGTCGCACTCTCAATAACGTAATACGGAGCTCCCGAAGTTTTCAAGGTCGTTTGAAAAAAATCGCCGTAGCGCGTTGAAATTTGGTGTGCGCGTTTTTCAGGTTGTTTGTGACAAAAGTTTAGTATTAATTTCGGCGTGTGGTCGTTGGGAGGTGAAAAATGGGTCGATTCCAGGGAATGAGGCGTTTTCGGATCGACTTAACCCGTCGATTCCCGTGCGAACCGCCCAGAGGGCCGTATATAACTCCGGAAACAAGTCGGCGCGCAACAATCCTTTAATTATTCCAGCTCTCGTATCCGTCTGTTTATCTGTATGGTGTAATTCGATTAGACGGGGGCCGGTATTCCTGCAGGACACGTTTTCGGACTATCATTCTCGCGGGAGGGGGCGGCATACGTGCCGGTGCGCGATTGCGCCAATTACCGCCTGCTTTGATTTAGTGATATGGAAAAAAGATGCGCCGGGGATTTTCGAGCTAAGTAGGTTCGTCGGTGCTTTCGTCGTTCCGAGATGGCGTGGAGCGATGTTAGTTTGTTTTCTGCGAGATTGGGTCGCGAACGCGGAGAGATATTAGGCGAAAAAGTGGGCGCGATGTTCGACGACGTCTGGGGGTTATTGGCGGCGCAATTTCGATGGGGGCGGCGGATTTACGACGTACCCAGGCGTGTTTTCGTGTTCTTTCGTTTGAGTTTGGAAGATCGAGCCTTGTTCTGGACTGATAACCCCGTAATTTACATTTCGCGCGTTGACGAGCGCGTTTAAAAATGCAAATCTCGTCAACGCTGCGGAGCGAGAAAAAAGAACAACAATTAGCAGTAGCACTCCGTTGATTGTGAAAAAGGACGATTTTTTCGCCCCAACACAACATGGAGGACAATTAAGAGCGACTTTGAAGCGTGAAATAATTATACGGTTTTTTATTTTCATCATCTGTTCCCTCGTCGTAATTAAATATTTGCATAAGCCATGGCTCGAGAGCGAATTGTTTTTTTTTCCGCGATCCTGCATCGGGATAATTAGATCGGCCCGAACCGAATCGAATTAAGGCGACAGGTCCGGCCAAGGCCGCAGGTGGGGCTCCCGCGGGGCCGGCGCCGGATAAAGGCGCGCTCTCTCTGAGCGATTACACCTCGGGGATCCACGAACAGAGAGTTTCGGGAAGATAGGAAGCGGCCCAAACCTGCCGTAATAAAGTTGGGACGTTTTTCGGCTGGAGCTTTTGACGAGGCGGCCGAAGGGACCGCGATTCTAAATTCCAGGAGATGACATCCTAATCTCGAGTGCTCCTCTAATCTCTTTACAATTTCCATCAAACGCTCGTCGGTCCAACTCCGAACTCACAATGGCGTCTTACTTTCCGCCATAATTAAATCCCCACACACGGCGCTCCATTGTTGTCACCCCGCGACGTTTCGTCATATTAATCATCCCTCGTGCGACTTAATAACGCCGCCGGAGCGTCTAATTCACATCGCGTAAGCGACGACCGGCCGCGGTCATTTTAATTAATTCACGCTGTATACACAATGAGGGGCGGGAGGGACGAGGGGAGGGGTTAATGCGGCCACAACGCCGCTGTGTTTTCATTAGCGGCCGTGTATCACGGCGTAATTATTTTACTCGTTACCTTCCGCTAAAGGCCCAGAGGTGACGCCGAAATCTATCCAGGGGTAGACGGCATAGGGGCGGCAGTGCGTGCAAAGGGGGACGCTAACTTACTACTATTGTTCACGCCGTGTCCGACTCCAATCCCGTCAGCGCAAGAGGCGCAATCCGAGCGCCAATTTTCAAGTCGAAAATCCGTCGGGTTTCGGGTCACCTAAACCCCACAAGGGCGGGGATTTCAGCCAAAAGGTAAAACCAGACCTGGGGTACCCGTGAATACCACTCCGACTCCAGTGTCACGCCCGCCGTGCTTATGCCGTCTGAAAAACCCAATGAATCGTTTGGCGCATATTTTGCGACGTCGCCGAAATATCGCCGCCGCCCCTTTGACGGATGGCGGCGTACGTAGGCATTGGTGGTGTTCCGGAAAATTTATCGCTTTCCGTTAAGCCGACCGTGCACGTATCTGGAGCCGACTCTCCGTACTAATAACGTTATTAATTACACTTTCATGTATTCGAAAACGTTTGACGTCGACTTGGAAACTATGACGCTTGGCTGGGCCCGAAACAAACATGAAGGGTTAATGGGGCCGTTAATGACGTCACGCCCGCCGCAAATACCGCCCGCTTTTTTGGGGGCGAAGAAAGCGCCGGTCCGTCTCGGAAAATCCCAAACTAAACAAGAGTGTCGAAGTGAAAAGTTACCGGAATTGTTTTCTTGCGTTGAATAGAGTGAAGTAATTTCGCCTTCGCCCCGGTTACTAGAAACGGTAGCACAACCTTCTAGCAAATTGAATTTTGAACTCAATCATCAGAAGATCGAATCAAACGTGACGAGGTGCTTTTGAATACAGAGTGCATGAAGGGGCGATAGATAAAACTTATAACGGGGAAAAGGGAACAAGTAAAAAGTGGAATATGGCTTGAGACGACGCGATAGACGCGAAGCTTTATTATAATGGTTAATTTATGAAGTTTCGGAACACTTTTTTTACAATTAAAACTTTCTTGGCAAATATTTTTACTTTTCGACCCTTTGAAGCTGCGTAATAGGTTTTAAATTGAGTGCGGTGTTTATTAAAACGGAACTTTATTCATATGGCTGCCCTGTAGCTTTTTAATAATAATAATAATGATGATTATGATAATAAGTTTTCTTGTATAAGAAACAAGTTTGCATTTAGAGATATTCAACATCAATTTATTTCGAATCGTCGCCTGAGAACTTGTTTGATCCACAGACCGGAGTGCACTCAAGCCAATGTCGACCCTAAACCTAATTCCCGGTATTTGGAAGCTCTAGACATTTCGGAAATCCTAAACATTGTGAAGATTCTGAAAATTCGATATATTCTAGAAATTTTAGATATTCTGGAGATTCTACAGATTCTCAACTTTCTGAATATTTCGAGAAGCCAAAAATTCTGCCGACTATAAAGATTTCGAAGGTTTCCAAAGATTCCAGAGAAATTTCAACGATTTCGGATGGTCCGAGACGCTAGATAATCATGAGATTCTGTAGATTCTGAATATTTCAAATATCATGAAGACACTTTCAAGACTGCCACAATTTTGAAGATTATGAATATTCTACTGATTTTAAAGATCCCAAATGTTCCGGGAATTTGACTAATTTTAAAAAGATTCGAATATTCTGAGACACTAGAAATTTCGAAAAATTTCAAAGATCCAAAGGTTCCAGAAATTTCAAAGAAGATTCCGGATAATACCGAATATTCGGAAGAATTTGAATATTTCAAAGACTGAAAATTTCGAAAACTAATAAGGTTATAAAATTTTGAAAATTATAAAGATTCCAAAGATTTTACAAAGATTCCAGAAAGTTCAAAGATTTCGGCTATTCCAAGGCTATAGATTCCAGACATTCTGAAGATTTGAATACTTCGAAGCCTGAAGATGCCAAAAATTCTGAAGATTGAAGATTCCCAAGATTTTATATATTCCAAAGATCGAAAAATCGAAAAGTCAAAAATGGGATAATTTATAAATCGAAAAAAAATACAGAACAACTGAAAATTCGAGAAATTTTGAGGATTATTGGGTTTGGAGGATTTGAGGCTTATGGTGTTATGAGGATTTAAGTCAAAAAATCGCAAAATCTAGAAGTCGAAATACCAAAACTGAAAGAAATATCCAAAAATTGAGAAATTAAAAAAAGGGAAACTGAGACATCGAAAAACTAAAAAACCAAAGTCGAAAAATCGTAAGCTTAAAAAATCTAAAAACTGAAAAATCAAAAACTTGAAAAATCGAAAAATTGAAGAAGTGAAAGATCGAAACTTTGGGAAGTCGAGAAATGGGAAAACTGAAAATTTAGAACCGTCAAATTTTGAAAAATTCAAACATGTAAAGTTGAAAAATAGATAAATCGAATAAAAATAGTTAAAATATATAATGGTAAATATGAGATTAGAATTATGTTTTAAATATTGTGTTGTTGAAAATAGGTAGGTACACATTAAGAAAAAGAAGAAGCCAATAATTAAGCCCCACCCACCCGCCCGTATCTCACTTGTGACGAATTTTTCATTCGTTGTCAGACAGAGGGGCGGAGTTTAATTGCAAAATCCATATTTTTCTACAAATATTTACCATTTTAAACTTATTTTAATTGTCCTCGTCTTCTTCTCTTCAATTGGGGTAGTACTTTTTTTATTTAAAATTTAATCACCCAAATGGAGGCGGGTGGGTGGGCGGGGTTTATTATTGAAGAGTGGGGGTAGTAAGTAACTAGCCTGAAAAAAAAGCGCCAATCGTAACTTTCTTTGTTGTACTATTTGTTGTAAGATTTATTTCTTATTTCAGAAGAAAAAAAAATGGGAGAACGGGTGGGTGGGCGGGGCTAAGTTTAACTATTCCTAGAGAGTCTTTTATAGCCAAGCATTAGGCCCGCCCACCCACCCCTCTTCATTCCGGTGACCACTCTTAATACTGTTAATTATTGACAATATAATTTTAAAAATACATAAGAAAGGACTTTACAGAATAAGTACTTACAAAAATTTTAAAAGTGGGACCGATTTTTCAATTTGGACGCCTGAAAGTTTTTTCCAAAAAAAGGGTAATGGTCTTCTCTCCGCTCCCCGTCTCAGGACGAATAAAAATATAAATCACAATTGAGAAGGGGCGGGTGGGTGGGGTCTGGTCTAACGAATTTTTCATTCGTTGTCAGACAGAGGGGCGGAGTTTAATTGCAAAATCCATATTTTTCTACAAACATCTACCATTTTAAACATATCATAATTATCCTCGTCTTCTTCTCTTCAATTGGGGTAGTACTTTTTTATTTAAAATTTAATCACCCAAATGGAGGCGGGTGGGTGGGCGGGGTTTATTATTGAAGAGTGGGGGGTAATAAGTAACTAGGCTGAAAAAAAAGCGCCAATCGTAACTTTTTTTGTTATTCTATTTGTTATAAGATTTATTCCTTATTTCAGAAGAAGAAAAAATTAGAGAACCGGTGGGTGGGCGGCTTTAACTTTTTCTTAGAGAGTCAGCATTAGGCCCGCCCACCCACCCCCTCTTCATTCTGTTGACTACTCTTGGTATTGTTCAATCCTATCTTAGAAAAAATTAGACAACGGGCGGGTGGGCGGAGCTAAATATAAATTTTTCCTACAGAATCTTTTATAAGCTAGCGATAGCCCCGCCCTCCCTCCCCCTCGTCATTCCAGTGATTACTCTTAATATTGTTCAGTTATATCTTAGCAAGTTTTAGGCCCGCCCACCCACCCTTATTTTCTTAGAGGATATGTCATCTGCCAAAGTCGATCTTATCTTAATAAATAATAAACCCGCCCACCCGCCCTCTATTTTCTTAGAGGCTATGTCATTTACCAAAATCAATCTTATTTCAGCAGATACTAGCCCCGATTTTAACGATTTTATCTCTTTTCACCTGAGATCTACTTTCATTTAGACTAGACAAAATGGGTCACTGAAATGGAGCCAGGGTGGGTGGGCGGGGTGAATTATACCACTTGTTTCTTTTATTTTATACAGCCCCTGTGAGATTACAAAATTTACTATTATAAACATGTTTTAAGTTTCCTTTGTTTCTTCTCTTCAGTTGGGATAGTACTTTTTTATATAAAATTAATAACCGAAATGGAGTCGGGTGGGTGGGCGGGGTTTGTTATATGTTCTTCTGCAGAGCTGTAATTAGCTGATCGAAAATAGGCTGTAAAAAAGCGCCAATCGGAACTTTTTTGTTGTACTATTTGTAGTAATATTCATTTCTTATTTCAGAATAAAAAGAAAGAGAGAACGGGTGGGTGGGCGGGGTTTAAGTATAACTTTTTCCTAGAGAGTCTTTCATAGGCAAGCATTGGGCCCTCCCACCCACCCCCTCTTCATTCTAGTGACCACTCTTAGTATTGTTCAATCCTATCTTGGAAAAAATTACACAGCGGGTGGGTGGGCGGGGCTAAATTTAACTTTTTCCTATAGAATCTTTTATAAGCAAGCAAGAGCCCCGCCCGCCCACCGCCTCTTCATTCCAGTGATTACTCTTAATATTGTTCAGTTTTACCTTAGCAAGCTTTAGCTCCGCCCACCCACCCTTATTTTCTTAGAGGATATGTCGTTTGCCAAAGTCGATCTTATCTTAATAAATAATAAACCCGCCCACCCGCCCTCTATTTTCTTGGAGGCTATGTTATTTACCAAAATAGATCTTATTTCAGCAGACACCAGCCCCGATTTTAACGATTTTATCTCTCTTCAACTGAGATCTACTTTCATTCGGACTAGACAAAAGGAGTCACTGAAATGGAGCCAGGGTGGGTGGGCGTTTTGAATTATACCACGTGTTTCTTTTATTTTATACAGCCCCTGTGAGATTACAAAATTTACTATTATAAACATGTTTTAAGTTTCCTTTGTTTCTCCTCTTCAATCGAGGTAGTACTTTTTTTTATATAAAATTAATAACCGAAATGGAGTCGGGTGGGTGGGCGGGGTTTTTTATGTTCTACTGCAGAGCTGTAGTTAGCTGATCGAAAATAGGCTGTAAAAAAGCGCCAATCGTAACTTTATGTTGTACTATTTGTTATAATATGTATGTATTCCGGGTGGGTGGGTGGGGCTAAGCATAACTTTTTCCTAGAGAGTTTTTCATATTCAAGCATTAGGCCCGCCCACCCACCCCCTCTTCATTCTATTGACTACTCTTAGTATTGTTCAATCCTATCTTTGAAAAAATTAGACAACGGGTGGGTGGGCGGGGCTAAATTTAATTTTTTTTACAGAATCTTTTATAAGCTAGCAATAGCCCCGCCCACCCACCCCATTCTTCATTCCAGTGATTACTCTTAATATTGTTCAGTTTTATCTTAGGAAATTTTAGCCCCGCCCACCCACCCTTTTTTTCTTCGAGAATATATCATTTGCCAAAGTTGATGTTATCTTAATAAATACTAGACCCGCCCACCCGCCCTCTATTTTCTTAGAGGCTATGTTATTTACCAAAATCAATATTTTCTCAGCAGATACCAGCTCTGATTTTAACGATTTTATCACTCTTCAACTGAGATCTACTTTCATTCGGACTGGACAAAATGAGTCACTGAAATGGAGTCAGGGTGGGTGGGCGAGGTGAATTATACCACGTGTTTCTTTTATTTAATACAGCCCCTGAGAGGTTACAAAATTTACTATTATAAACATGTTTTAAGTTTCCTTTGTTTCTTAAAGGTTTATTAAATGTTCTTCCGCTGAGCTGTAATTAGCTGATCGAAAATAGGCTGTAAAAAAGCTCCAATCGTAACTTTTTGTTGTACTATTTGTTATAATATATAATATGGGGCTAAGTATAACTTTTTGCTAGAGAGTTTTTCATAATAAGACTACTCTTACTATTGTTCAGTCCTATCTTAGAAAAAATACTAGCCCCGCCCGCCCGCTCACTAGATTCTTAGAGGGCCTCATTGCCAAAATCAGTCTTACCTCTTGGCAGCTACTAGAAGCAGCCTCTTTTCTTAGATGGCATCTCATTTGCCAAAATCACTCTTATCTTAACAGGTACTAGCCCCGCCCACCCACCCTCTTGTTTCTTAGAGGCTATGTCATTTGCCAAAATTAGTCTCATCTTAGCAAGTACCTTTATTTTCTTAAAGAGTATATAATTTGCCAAGATCAAAGAAAAAACTGATTTTGGCAAATTATATTCCCTTTAAGAAAACAGAGGGCGGGTGGGCGGGCTATTGCTTGTTAAGTTAAGATTGATTTTGGCAGACGACATATCCTCTAAGAAAAAAATGGGTGGGTGGGCGGGGCTAAGTTTAACTTTCTCCTAGAGAGTCTTTTATCGGCAAGCAGCCTCACAATAGCTTGATATTAAAGAAAATATTTATTAAAATATCAATCGATAAAAGTTAAAGTAAAACAAAATACAAAGGAGAAGACACGCTCTATCCCACAGCAACTTCTTTCCTCCAGCGTAATAAAACTTCTCGGCATCGGGATTAGAAATGACGAATTCTTGCAAATCGAGCGGGGTCATTCTGCACGCTCTGACTTCGTTCTGCAGGAAGCGAAAGTCGACATCTTTCCAAACTTTAAAAAATCCAGAATCTCCCCATTTCGGGCCCCAACAGTTAGCCACCAACCAGTATTCCAATTCATCGTCTCGCAGGCCCCAACCCACGATTTTGAACGCCTGGTATCCTAAGCTCTCCCCACACGTAGGGTGGTAAAGACCTACAAACAATGCATTCAGTTTTAAGCAAAACCTAGCAAAACACCTTTCTTGTAGAATGCCAGATCTTCGTTAATTTCCATAAGCCCCATCACAGGTCCATGATCCATAATTTCTTTCTGAATTTGGTCTTGGGATTCATCCAGCAAGTAAATCAGTTCTGGGAAATATGTGTCGTTGGTGTAGGTTTTGTCGTACTTGCGGTTTGTACATGACTTGGTGCAGGGAGAAGCGTCTCCACGGAAGTGAGCCTCGGAGTAAGGTTGGCACCCCTTGAAACAAAGTCAAAAATTTTGGAAATTTAATGTAAGTACCTCTCCGGAATCTAACTCGCCTCCGGTTACGGCTCCGTACTCTTGTATGTGGTGCCAAGCCAAGTACGGGAAGCCGCCATCGCACGGACGGTCCATGGTGAGCATGCATTCGTTACAGCAGTCGAGGATACTTTCCGCGGAAATGTGGACCTTGGTTTCTCCTTCGCTGCCAATGCAGATTCTGTCGGAGAACACCGAAGCTGTAATCGCCGCCTTAAAAACGAACAAAGTGATTTTTGATGGGTGGTTTTGTGGTTGGTACCCAGCTGCCGGCGCAGTTCCCTTGGTCTCTTATGTGATTAATGATGTCCTTGCACTGGGGCCACTTCTCTCGAGAGTCGAAGGATTCCGGCAGATTGGTGAGGAAAGCAGTCTTGTGGTACAACATACTGATGTTGTCTTTTCTGTAGGAAGTTTCACGGTTTAGCTTCACTGTTTTTTGCTTCTCGAACGTTAGATTGACATTCGGATTTTTTTCAAAGGTCCATTCCATTGTTGTGTGCTTGAGACAGTGAACGATTTCGTCTTCGGTCATGAAAGTTGTTTTAGAAAGAATGCTCAGGATGTGTGGTAGAAGAATTAGTAGGAATTTCATTGCGTCAACTTCACGGTTTTTTAAGTGTCAGGGTTGATCGTCAATTTTCCAAACAAAAATTAATAAATCAACTCTTTCCAATGTGTCACAAACGTCTTGTGTCTCTTTTCGTTTTATTTTCTCTCACACATCGAAGCAATAGTCAGCACACTAGTGAAGAGATCATCGCCTATGTCAATTCGCACGCCTCCACATGGACTGTTGGAATAAATCCGGACAACCCGGCTTTGGATTCTCTTCGATTCCTAGACCCAAATATCTCCCTCTTGTACACGAAAGACGAAATGAAAATCATGTCCCACAGACAAGAGTACGTTTCCCGTCTTCCAGAGGAGTTCAACGCTCTGGATAAGTGGCCCATGTGCCGAAACGTTATAGCACGAGTCAGAAACCAAGGGAAATGTCAAAGTTGTTGGGTACGTCAAAGACAACTAAACCGTCCAAAATCTTACTTGGTCCAATCCAGGCAGTGCAAACTGCTTCTGTTTTTTCTGACAGAATATGCATCGGAAGCCTCGGAAGGCTCCAATTCCATGCCTCCGCAGAAGATGTAGTTTTTCTGTAGACGATACTTCGTGTGCTCCTGGATACATCGGCAGGGCTTGGAAACACCTGACAGACAACGAGGTCGTCTCAGGAGGGGAATTCGAATCACTTGAAGTACAAATTTTTGACTGAGCGATAACAAAACTAAGTCGTTTTTTAGGGCTGTAAACCCTACTCGGGTGAGCTTTTTCACTGTATGAAAGACTTGCCTTGTCGAAATTGGTGTTCTAACTCGTGCTACCAAAGAGACTACGATACAGATTTACAGAAAATACATCACGTGTACTTGGTATCACCCAACGAAACGCAAATCCAAGACGAGATTTACTACAACGGCCCCGTTGTAACTTATCTAGATCTTTATGAAGATCTTAAAGAGTACAGAGAAGGTGCAAACTACTAAATAGACTACAGATTTCTCTAAAGTGGTTGTCGGTGTGTATCAACACTTGTACGGGGACTATATTGGAGGACATTTCATCAAAATTGTGGGTTGAGGGATGGAAACGCAGACCAAGTACTGGCTGGCTGCCAATTCGTGGGGACCAAGTTGGGGGAAACTGAACGGATTTTTCAAAATCTTGAGGGGGGAAAATCACTGTAGAACAGAGGAAGAAGTCAGAGCCGGAAAAACCACGCAGATTACTTTTCGGGAGTACTTACTTACTAATCCCGAGTTTGTAGGAAGTATCAGCTCAAACTTGAAACATTGGAACGGGTTGGCTTTGGTTTCGTGGACGTTTTTTTACACACTGATGCAAATTTTATACCACTTTTAATACAAACTAATAAATTTCAATACACTTTTAGTTGAGCTTTAAAACGTCAAAGCACTCTACTGTCTCAATATTGACTTACAAAATCAGAAGCATCCATTTTTTAACATGGCGGAATGGCTACTTTTAAAACTGTGATTGTTAAGAACTCGCTTAGAACGTCCTTGTTTTGATTATTTTCTTCTTTTTTCTTACGAAATTATGTAAAATTTCTTCAGAGTAGCTAAGAATGAATGAATAGAAGAACCGATTCAGACAAAAATTGATTTCAATGTATATGTCGAGGTGAGTCATTACGTTTTAAAGTTATTGTAAGCCTGGTAATTGTTAATCCCCCCAAAATTGATGACGTCATCTCAAAATTTTTCCGAATAAATTCTACCCAAAATGTGATGATTTTTTACTTGTGATTTATCACTGCATTCATACCGTCTAGATTTGCTTATACAGGTGACTCAAAAAATTAATGAATGAGTCAATTTATTTTATTGATTAAATCAGGAATGGCTCACTCCATTTTCACAGAAAATTTTGGGAATACAACACTGTTATTTTTCAATTTCCATGTGAGACTAAATAAAATAAGTCAATGAAATGGGGAAAGGAGGTGGGCGGGGCTATTGCTAGTTTATACAAGATTCCGTAGGAAAAAGTTAAATTTAGCCCCGCCCACCCACCCGTTCTCTCATTTTTGTTTCTTCTGAAATAAGAAATAAATCTTATACAAATAGTACAACAAAAAAGTTACGATTGACACGATATTTCGAGAAGCCAAAAATTCTGCCGACTATAAAGATTTCGAAAGTTTCCAAAGATTCCAGAGAAATCTCAACGATTCCGGATGGTCAGAGACTCTAGATAATCATGAGATTCTATAGATTCTGAATATTTCAAATGTCATGAAGACACTTTCAAGACTGCCACAATTTTGAAGATTATGAATATTCTACTGATTTTAAAGATCCCAAATGTTCCGGGAGTTTAACAAATTTTAAAAAGATTCGAATATGCTGGGACAATAGAAATTTCAAAAATTGAAGATTCCAAAAATTATAAACACGGAAGTTTTGGCTGAATGTTATAAAGATTCAAAAAATTTCAAAGATCCAAAGGTTCCAGAAATTTCAAAGAAGATTCCGGATAATACCGAATATTCGGACGAATTTGAATATTTCAAAGACTGAAAATTTCGAAAACTAATAAGGTTATAAAATTTTGAAAATAATAAAGATTCCAAAGATTTTACAAAGATTCCAGAAAGTTCAAAGATTTCGGCTATTCCAAGACTATAGATTCCAGAGATTCTGAAGATTTGAATATTTCGAAGCCTGAAGATGCCAAAAATTATGAAGATTGAAGATTCCCAAGATTTTATATATTCCAAAGATCGAAATATCGAAAAGATAAAAATGGGAAAATTTATAAATCGAAAGATTGAACAGTCAAAACATCCAAACATCCGAATCTCGATAAATCGAAATCTCAAAAAATTGAAAAATCGAACATTTAAAAATTCGGAGAATATAAAAATTAAAATACAGAAGAACTGAAAATTCGAGAAATTTTGAGAATTACGGTCTTATGAGGACTTAAATCAAAAAATCGCAAAATCTAGATGTCGAAATACCAAACCTGAAAGAAATATCGAAAAAATTGAGAAATTAAAAAAAGGGGGAAATTGAGACATCGAAAAACTAAAAAACCAAAGTCGAAAAATCGTAAGCTTAAAAAATCTAAAAATTGAAAAATCAAAAACCTGAAAAATGGAAAAATTGAAGGAGTGAAAAATCGAAACTTTGGGAAGTCGAGAAATTGGAAAATAAAAAAAAGATTACTTTAGAAATGGGAAAACTAAAAATTTAGAACCGTCAAAATTTGAAAAATTCAGACATGTAAAGTTGAAAAATAGATAAATCGAATAAAAATAGTTGAAATATCCAATGGTAAATATGAGATTAGAATTATGTTTTAATTATTGTGTTGTTGAAAATAGGTACACATTAAGAAAAAGAAGAAGCCAATAATTAAGCAATAATACTGTTAATTATTGACAACATAATTTTAAAACTACATAATAAAGGACTTTACAGAATAAGTACCTACAAAAATTTTGAAAGTGGGACCGATTTTTCAATTTTGACGCCTGAAAGTTTTTTTCCCAAAAAAAGGGTAATGGTCTTCTCTCCGCTCCCCGCCTCAGGACGAATAAAAATATGAATCACAATTGAAAAGGGGCGGGTGGGTGGCGTTTATCCTTCGATTTTCTTAGTACATATTACATAGTCTTCTCTCAACAATAAAGTACTCAAAATATCAAATGGTGTTTGGTGTTGTTGAAAATAGATATACATTGAGAAAAAGAAGCCAATAATTAATTAAGCCCCACCCACCCGCCCCTGTCTCACTTATGACGAATTTTTCATTCGTTGTCAGATAGAGGGGCGGAGTTTAATTGCAAAATCCATATTTTTCTACAAATATTTACCATTTCAAACATATCATAATTATCCTCGTCTTCTTCTCTTCAATTGGGGTAGTACCTTTTTTATTTAAAATTTAATTACCCAAATGGAGCGGGTGGGTGGACGGGATTTATTATTGAAGAGTGGGGGTAGTAAGTAACTAGACTGGAAAAAAAGCGCCAATCGTAACTTTTTTTGTTGTACTATTTGTTATAAGATTTATTTCTTATTTCAGAAGAAAAAAAAAATGGGGGAACGGGTGGGTGGGCGGGGCTAAGTTTAACTTTTTCTTAGAGAGTCTTCTATAGCCAAGCATTAGGCCCGCCCACCCACCCTCTTTTCATTCTAGTGACTACTCTTAGTTTTGTTCAATCCTATCTTAGAAAAAATAGACAACGGGCGGGTGGGCGGGGCTAAATTTAATGTTTTTCTACAGAATCTTTTATAAGCTAGCAATAGCCCCGCCCACCCACCCTTCGTCATTCCAGTGATTCCTGAGTAAGAAAAAAGAAGAAAATAATCAAAACAAGGGCGTTCTAAGCGAGTTCTTAACAATTACAATTTTAAAAGTAGCCATTCCGCCATGTTAAAAAATGGATGCTTCTGATTTTGTAAGTCAATATTGAGACAGTAGAGTACCTTGACGCTTTAAAGCTCAACTAAAAGTGTATTGAAATTGATCAGTTTTTATTAAAAGTGGTATAAAATTTGCATCAGTGTGTAAAAAAACGTCCACGAAACCAAAGCCAACCCATTCCAAGGTTTCAAGTTTGAGCTGACACTTCCTACAAACTCGGGATTAGTAAGTAAGTACTCCCGAAAAGTAATCTGCGTGGTTTTTCCGGCTCTGACTTCTTCCTCTGTTCTACAGTGATTTTCCCCCCTCAAGATTTTGAAAAATCCGTTCAGTTTCCCCCAACTTGGTCCCCACGAATTGGCAGCCAGCCAGTACTTGGTCTGCGTTTCCATCCCCCACCCCACAAGTTTGATGAAATGTCCTCCAATATAGTCCCCGTACAAGTGTTGATACACACCTAGAACCACTTTAGAGAAATCTGTAGTGTATTTAGTAGTTTGCACCTTCTCTGTAGTCTTCAAGATCTTCATAAAGATCTAGATAAGTCACAACGGGGCCGTTGTAGTAAATCTCGTCTTGGATTTGCGTTTCGTTGGGTGATACCAAGTACACGTGATGTATTTTCTGTAAATCTGTATCGTAGTCTCTTTGGTAGCACGAGTTAGAACACCACTTTCGACAAGGCAAGTCTTTCATACAGTGAAAAAGCTCACCCGAGTAGGGTTTACAGCCCTAAAAAGACGACTTAGTTTTGTTATCGCTCAGTCAAAAATTTGTACTTCAAGTGATTCGTATTCCCCTCCTGAGACGACCCCGTTGTCTCTCAGGTGTTTCCAAGCCCTGCCGATGTATCCAGGAGCACAAGAACTATCGTCTACAGAGCAGTGACCACAGCACGAAACTACATCTTCTGCGGAGGCATGGAATTGGAGCCTTCCGAGGCTTCCGATGCAGATTCTGTCAGAAAAAGCAGAAGCAGTTTGCACTGCCTGGATTGGACCAAGTAAGATTTCGGACGGTTTAGTTGTCTTTGACGTACCCAACAACTTTGACATTTCCCTTGGTTTCTGACTCGTGCTATAACGTTTCTGCACATGGGCCACTTATCCAGAGCGTTGAACTCCTCTGGAAGACGGGAAATGTACTCTTGTCTGTGGAACATGACTTTCATTTCGTCTTTCGTGTACAAGAGGGAGATATTTGGGTCCAGGGATCGAAGAGAGTCCAAGGCCGGGTTGTCCGGGTTTATTCCAGCAGTCCATGTGGTGGCGTGCGAATTGACATAGGCGATGATCTCTTCACTAGAGTGCTGACTATTGCTTCGATGTGTGAGAGAAAATAAAGCGAAAAGAGACACAAGACGTTTGTGATACATTGGAAAGAATTGATTTATTAATTTTTGTTTGGAAAATTGACGATCAACCCTGACACTTAAAAAACCGTGAAGTTGACGCAATGAAATTCCTACTAATTCTTCTACCACACATCCTGAGCATTCTTTCTAAAACAACTTTCATGACCGAAGACGAAATCGTTCACTGTCTCAACACCTCACCAACGGAATGGACCTTTGAAAAAAATCCGAATGTCAATCTAACGTTCGAGAAGCAAAAAACAGTGAAGCTAAACCGTGAAACTTCCTACAGAAAAGACAACATCAGTATGTTGTACCACAAGACTGCTTTCCTCACCAATCTGCCGGAATCCTTCGACTCTCGAGAGAAGTGGCCCCAGTGCAAGGACATCATTAATCACATAAGAGACCAAGGGAACTGCGCCGGCAGCTGGGTACCAACCACAAAACCACCCATCAAAAATCACTTGGTTCGTTTTTAAGGCGGCGATTACAGCTTCGGTGTTCTCCGACAGAATCTGCATTGGCAGCGAAGGAGAAACCAAGGTCCACATTTCCGCGGAAAGTATCCTCGCCTGCTGTAACGAATGCATGCTCACCATGGACCGTCCGTGCGATGGCGGCTTCCCGTACTTGGCTTGGCACCACATACAAGAGTACGGAGCCGTAACCGGAGGCGAGTTAGACTCCGGAGAGGTACTTCCGTTAAATTTCCAAAATTTTTGACTTTGTTCCAAGGGGTGCCAACCTTACTCCGACGCTCACTTCCGTGGAGACGCTTCTCCCTGCACCAAGTCATGTACAAACCACAAGTACGACAAAACCTACACCAACGACACACATTTCCCAGAACTGATTTACTTGATGGATGAATCACAAGACCAAATTCAGAAAGAAATTATGGATCATGGACCTGTGATGGGGGTTATGGAAATTAACGAAGATCTGGCATTCTACAAGAAAGGTGTTTTGCTAGGTTTTGCTTAAAACTGAATGCATTGTTTGTAGGTCTTTATCACCCTACGTGTGGGGAGAGCTTAGGATACCAGGCGTTAAAAATCGTGGGTTGGGGCCTGCGAGACGATGACTTGGAATACTGGTTGGTGGCTAACTGTTGGGGCCCGAAATGGGCAGATTCTGGATTTTTTAAAGTTTGGAAAGATGACGACTTTCACTTCCTGCAGAACGAAGTCAGAGCGTGCAGAATGACCCCGATCGATTTTCAAGAAGTCGTCATTTCTAATCCCGATGCCGAGAAGTTTTATTACGCTGGAGGAAAGAAGTTGCTGTGGGATAGAGCGTGTCTTCTCCTTTGTATTTTGTTTTTCTTTAACTTTTATCGATTGATATTTTAATAAATATTTTCTTTATTATCAAGCTATTGTGAGGCTGCTTGCCGATAAAAGACTCTCTAGGAGAAAGTTAAACTTAGCCCCGCCCACCCACCCATTTTTTTCTTAGAGGATATGTCGTCTGCCAAAATCAATCTTAACTTAACAAGTAATAGCCCGCCCACCCGCCCTCTGTTTTCTTAAAGGGGATATAATTTGCCAAAATCAGTTTTTTCTTTGATCTTGGCAAATTATATACTCTTTAAGAAAATAAAGGTACTTGCTAAGATGAGACTAATTTTGGCAAATGACAGCCTCTAAGAAACAAGAGGGTGGGTGGGCGGGGCTAGTACCTGTTAAAATAAGAGTGATTTTGGCAAATAAGTTGCCGTCAAAGAAAAGAGGCTGCTTCTAGTAGCTGCCAAGAGGTAAGACTGATTTTGGCAATAAGACCCTCTAAGAATCTAGTGAGAACTCTCTAGGAAAAAGTTATACTTAGCCCCATACATATTATATATTATAACAAATAGTACAACAAAAAGTTACGATTGGCGCTTTTTTACAGCCTATTTTCGATCAGCTAATTACAGCTCTGCAGAAGAACATATAACAAACCCCGCCCACCCACCCGATTCCATTTCGGTTATTAATTTTATATAAAAAAAGTACTACCCCAACTGAAGAGAAGAAACAAAGGAAACTTAAAACATGTTTATAATAGTAAATTTTGTAATCTCACAGGGGCTGTATAAAATAAAAGAAACACGTGGTATAATTCACCCCGCCCACCCACCCTGGCTCCATTTCCGTAACTCATTTTGTCTAGTCCGAATAAAAGGTACATCTCAGTTGAAGAGAGATAAAATCGTTAAAATCGGGGCTGGTATTTGCTGAAATAAGACTGATTTTGGTAAATGACATAGCTTCTAAGAAAATCGAGGGCGGGTGGGCGGGTCTAGTATTTATTAAGATAAGATCGACTTTGGCAGATGACATATCCTCTAAGAAAAATAGGGTGGGTGGGCGGGGATAAAACTTGCTAAGATAAAACTGAACAATATTAAGAGTAATCACTGGAATGAAGAGGGGGTGGGTGGGCGGGGCTACTGCTAGCTTATAAAAGATTCTGTAAGAAAAAGTTAAATTTAGCCCCGCCCACCCACCCGTCGTCTAATTTTTTCTAAGATAGGATTGAACAGTACTAGGAGTAGTCAATAGAATGAAGAAGGGGTGGGTGGGCGGGCCTAATGCTTGGCTATAAAAGACTCTCTAGGAGAAAGTTAAACTTAGCCCCGCCCACCCACCCATTTTTTTATTAGAGGATATGTCGTGTGCCAAAATCAATCTTAACTTAACAAGTAATAGCCCGCCCACCCGCCCTCTGTTTTCTTAAAGGGAATATAATTTGCCAAAATCAGTTTTTTCTTTGATCTTGGCAAATTATATACTCTTTAATAAAATAAAGGTACTTGCTAAGATGAGACTAATTTTGGCAAATGACATAGCCTCTAAGAAACAAGAGGGTGGGTGGGCGGGGCTAGTACCTGTTAAGATAAGAGTGATTTTGGCAAATGAGATGCCCTCTAAGAAAAGAGGCTGCTTCTAGTAGCTGCCAAGAGGTAAGACTGATTTTGGCAATGAGACTCTCTAAGAATCTAGTGAGCGGGCGGGCGGGGCTAGTATTTTTTCTAAGATAGGACTGAACAATAGTAAGAGTAGTCTTACTATGAAAAACTCTCTAGGAAAAAGTTATACTTAGCCCCATATTATATATTATAACAAATAGTACAACAAAAAGTTACGATTGGCGCTTTTTTACAGCCTATTTTCGATCAGCTAATTACAGCTCTGCAGACAAACATAACAAATCCCGCCCACCCACCCGACTCCATTTCGGTTATTAATTTTATATAAAAAAAGAACTGCCCCAACTGAAGAGAAGAAACAAAGGAAACTTAGAACATGTTTATAATAGTATTTTGTAATCTCACAGGGGCTGTATAAAATAAAAGAAACACGTGGTATAATTCACCCCGCCCACCCACCCTGGCTCCATTTCAGTGACTCATTTTGTCTAGTCCGAATGAAAGTAGATCTCAGTTGAAGAGAGATAAAATCGTTAAAATCGGGGCTGGTGTCTGCTGAAATAAGATTGATTTTGGTAAATGACATAGCCTCTAAGAAAACAGAGGGCGGGTGGGCGGGTCTAGTATTTATTAAGATAAGATCGACTTTGGCAGATGACATATCCTCTAAGAAAAATAGGGTGGGTGGGTGGCGCTAAAACTTGCTAAGATAAAACTGAACAATATTTAGAGTAATCATTGTAATGAAGAGGGGGACAGTGGACGGGGCTATTGCTAGCTTATACTAGATTCTGTAGGAAAAACTTACATTTAGCCCCGCCCACCCACCCGTTGTCTAATTTTTTCTAAGATAGGATTGAACAATACTAGGAGTAGTCAATAGAATGAAGAAGGGGTGGGTGGGCGGGCCTAATGCTTGGCTATAAAAGACTCTCTAGGAAAAAGTTAAACTTAGCCCCGCCCACCCACCCGTTCTCTCATTTTTTCTTCTGAAATAAGAAATAAATCTTATTAAAAATGGTACAATAAAAAAGCTACGATTGGTACTTTTTCTTCACAACCTAGTTTCTATCTCTCCCACTCTGCAGAAGAACATATAATATACCCCGCCCACCCACCCGCCTCCATTTCGGTGATTAATCTTATGTAAAAAAAGCACCACCCCGGTTGAAGAGAAGAAAAATAGGAAACTTAAAAGATATTTAAAATAGTAAATTCTTGTAGAAAAATATCGATTTTGCAATTAAACTCCGCCCCTTCTATCTGACAACGAATAAAAAATTCGTCACAAGTGAGACAGGGGCGGATGGGTGGGGCTCAATTAATTTTTGGCTTCTTTTTCTCAATGTATATCTATTTTCAACAACACCAAACACCATTTGATATTTTAAGTACTTTATTGTTGAGAGAAGACTATGTAATATGTACTAAGAAAATCGAAGGATAAAACCCACCCACCCGCCCCACCTCAATGGTGATTTAAATTTTTATTCGTCCTGAGGCGGGGAGCGGAGAGAAGACCATTACCCTTTTTTTTTGGAAAGAAAGTTTCAGGCGTCCAAATTGAAAAATCGGTCCCACTGACAAAATTTTTCTAAGTACTTATTCTGTAAAGTCCTTTCTTATGTCTTTTTAAAATTATATTGTCAATAATTAACAGTATTAAGAGTAGTCACCAGAATGAAGAGGGGGTGGGTGGGCGGGGCTACTGCTAGCTTATAAAAGATTCTGTAGGAAAAAGTTCATTTTAGCCCCGCCCACCCACCCTTTGTCTAATCTTTTCTAAGATAGGATTGAACAATACTAAGAGTAGTCACTAGAATGAAGAGGGTGTGGGTGGGAGGGCACAATGCTTGCCTATGAAAAACTCTCTAGGAAAAAGTTATACTTAGCCCCGCCCACCCACCCGAAATAAATATTATAACAAATAGTACAACAAAAGGTTACGATTGGCTCTTTTTTATAGCCTATTTTCGATCAGCTAATTACATCTCTGTAGAAGAACTAATAACAAACCCCGCCCACCCACCCGACTCCATTTCGGTTATTAATTTTATATAAAAAAAGTACTACCCCAACTGAAGAGAAGAAACAAATGGAACTTAAAACAAGTTTATAACAGTAAATTTTGTAATCTCACAAAGGCTGTATAAAATAAAAGAAACACGTTGTATAATTCACCCCGCCCACCCACCCTGGCTCCATTTCAGTGACTCATTTTGTCTAGTCCGAATAAAAGGTAGATCTCAGTTGAAGAGAGATAAAATCGTTAAATTCGGGGCTTGTATCTGTTGAAATAAGATTGATTTTGGTAAATGACATAGCCTCTAAGAAAATAAATAGAGGGCGGGTGGGCGGGTCTAGTATTTATTAAGATAAGATCGACTTTGGCAGATGACATATCCTCTAAGAAAAATAGGGTGGGTGGGCGGGGCTAAAACTTGCTAAGATAAAACTAAACAATATTAAGAGTAATCATTGGAATGAAGAGGGGGCGGGTGGGCGGGGCTATTGCTAGCTTATAAAAGATTCTGTAGGAAAAAGTTCAATTTGTATGCCCCGCCCACCCACCCGACTCTATTTCGGTTATTAGTTTTATATAAAAAAAGTACTGCCCCAATTGAAGAGAAGAAACAAAGGAAACTTAAAACATGTTTATAATAGTAAATTTTGTAGAAAAATATGGATTTTGCAATTAAACTCCGCCCCTCTATCTGACAACGAATAAAAAATTCGTCACAATTGAGATAGGGGCGGGTGGGTGGGGTTTAATTTAACTTTTTCCTACAGAATCTTTTTTTAATATATACTTATTTTTAACAACAACTATGATTTGATATTTTAAGTATTTTATTTTTGAAAGAATACTGTCTATGAAAAGCGACATGAACATTGTGTCTTAGATTAGACAAAAAACGCACAAATAACTTGATAAACTGTTTATTAAACGATCAATCCATAAAACTTAAGACATACTAAGTAAAAGGGCAGAAGGGACACTCTATCCCACAACTTTTTTCCTCCACTAGTAGTATCTGCGTCGAAAGCAGGATTAGATCTCACAAATTCCTGGCGAGCATTAATCCCAATGATTCTCCCGGCTCTGATTTCTTTCTCAATGTTGCAATGATTTTCCCCTCTCACGATTTTAAAGAATCCAGAATCTCCCCACTCGGGTCCCCAAGAATTGGCCAGCAACCAGTACTTGATCTCGTTCTCCACCCCCCAGCCCAAAATTTTTACCGCCATGTAGCCCATTTTCTCCCCACATACATGTTCATAAACACCTACAACCAAAATACGTGGTCAGTTTTGGACAAAATGCAACCGAACACCTCTCCTGTAGGTCATTATATCCTCGTACACTACCATAACGGCCATCACAGGCCCATCGTCGAAAATTTCCATCTGGATCTGCTTCTCTTCCGCAGGCACCAAATAAACAAACCCTGGAAAATACTTATCCCTGGAGAAGGTCGATCCATAAATTAAGTTTTCACAAAATTCGCTACAAGGAGTCTCCTCCCCGCGGAAGAAAGCGTCTGAGTACGGTTGACACCCCTTTGAAAAAAATTTTGACACCTCTCCACAGCGTTTCCAAGTTTTACCTCTTTGGAATCCAACTCGCCTCCAGTCACGGCCCCGTATTTATACAAGTACGACCAGGCTAAGTAGGCCAGACCTCCTTCACAGGGGCGGTCGTTGTACAAAATGCACTCTTCACAACATGACATTATGTCATTGGCCGAAATGTGCACTTTGGTGGATCCCTTCGTTCCAGTGCAGATCCTGTCCGAGAAGACCGAAGCTGGAGCCACCGCCTACAACGAACACACAGATTTTTGGGGGTGGCTTTTGGTGTCGGTACCCAGCTGCTGAGACACTTCCCTTGGTGTCGGATGCGACTGATGACGTTTGTGCACTCGGGCCACTTGTCCCTGGCGTCGAACGACTTCGGGACGGTCAGGTTTCTGTGGAATAAGACGCTGATTTTGTCCTTGGTGAAGGAGAAGTCGAGCTCTGGGTTTAGGGATTTTAGCTTGTCGAAGGGCAGGTTGGGGTCGGAGGTTATTTCGGCGGTCCAATTGGTGGTTTTTGAGCTCACGCAAGCGATGAGTTCGTCTTCGGAGAGGGAGGTGTCAGTGGGGGTGGGTAGGAGGTGTGGTAGGAGGAGTAGTAGGAGTTTCATGATGTGTCAACTTTGGTTTTTAAGTGTCACGGTTGTCAAGTGAGTCATTGCGAATTTTTGAAGTCCACAATCTTGTGTTTTGTGACTCCTATTTTATTTACTAACTGTAAAATAAGAATTGAATTCAATTTTGACAAGTGGTAGAATTTAAGATTTAAAACAAAGTCAAAAGTGGCCCCGCCCACCCACCCCTATTCCATTTTCACTACTCAGTTTATTGGTGCTGCGGCGGAAGTACGATTCTATGTTGATAAATATTATAGAATCTAGGATAATATGTTTTTCATTATGTATATTTTTATTAAATTTTTTTTTTTTTCGAAAAACGACCAATCAGCTTTAACACTTAAGAAACAAAAAATTGTATCAACTAAAAAATTCTAATAAAATAATAACGTTGTCATTAATTATTAAGAGTAACCAAAATGATCAAGAGGGGGTGGGTGGGTGGGGCTATTGCTTGCGTCAAAGACTCGCTAGGACAAAGTTAAACTTATCCCCGCCCACCCACCCGTCCGTCCTCACATTATTTTCTTCTGAAATAAGAAATAAATCTCTGAAATTAGCATTAGAAAAAATTACGATTCGTGCTTTTTTCTATTGGTCCCAATTCTTATTCTACAGAAGACCATATTATTAACCCCGCCCACCCACCCCAACTTCAGTCCAGTGATTCATTTTATATTTAGATGAAAGGCGGATCTTATACTGAACAATAATAAAATCGTTGGAATGAGAACAGCGCAGGTGGGCGGGGCTAGCATCTGCTAAGACAAAACTGATTTTGGCAAGTGAGATGTCCTCCAAGAATAGTAGAGGGCGGGTGGGCGGGGCTAGTTCTTGGTAAAATAAGAATAATTTTGGCAGATGACATATCCTCTAAGAAAATAGAGGGCGGGTGGGCGGGGTTAGTTCTTGGTAAGATAAGAACAATTTTGGCAGATGACATATCCTCTAAGAAAATAGAGGGTGGGTGGGTGGGGCTACTGTTTGCTTCAAAGACTCTGCAGGACAAAGTAAAACTTAGCCCTGCCCATCCATCCGTCCTCACATTATTTTCTTCTCAAATAAGAAATAAATCTCTGCGATTAGCATAACAAAAACATTACGATTTCTGGTTTTTTCTATTAGTTCCCATTCCCACTATACAGAAGATCAAATAATTAACCCCGCCCACCCACCCCAACTCCAGTCTAGTGATTCATTTTATCTGGTCACAATGAAAGGCGGATCTTATACTGAACAATAATAAAATGGTTAGAATGAGAAAAGGGCGAGTGGGCGGGGCTAGAATCTGCTAAGACAAAACTGGTTTTGGTAAGTGAGATGTCCTCCAAGAATAGTAGAGGGCGGGTGGGCGGGGCTAGTTCTTGGTAAGATAAGAATAATTTTGGCAGATGACATAACCTCTAAAAAAAGAGAGGGAGGATGGGCGGAGCTAGTTCTTGGTAAGATAAGAATAATTTTGTGGCCCCGCCCTCAGTTTATTAGTCCTGAGACGGAAGTTGGATTCTATATTGATAAATATAGAATCTAGGAAAATATGTTTTTAATTATATTTTTATTAAATTTTATTTTTTTTCGAAAAACGACCAATCAGCTTGTACACTCAAATAATAAAAAATCATATAAAGTAAAAAATTCTAATAAAATAATAATTTTCTCATTAATTAACAATATTAAGAGTGATCATAAGAATGAAGAGGGGGTGGGTGGGTGGGGCTATTGCTTGCTTCAAAGACTCTATAGGACAAAGTTAAACTTAGCCCCGCCCATCCATCCGTCCACACATTATTTTCTTCTGAAATAAGAAATAAATCTCTGCGATTAGCATAACAAAAAAATTACGATTCCTGGTTTTTTCTATTAGTTCCCATTCCCACTCTACAGAAGATCACATAATTAACCCCGCCCACCCGCCCCAACTCCAGTCCAGTGATTAATTTTATCTGCTCACAATGAAAAGCGGATCTTAAGTGAACAAAAATAAAATCGTTAAAATGAGAACAGGGCGGTTTGGCGGGGCTAGAATATGGTAAGACAAAACTGATTTGGCAAGTGGGATGTCCTCCAAGAATAGCAGAGGGCGGGTGGGCGGGGCTAATTCTTGATAAGATAAGAATAATTTTGGCAGATGGCATATCTCCTAAGAAAATAGAGGGCGGGTGGGCGGGGCTACTGTTTGCTTCAAGACTCTGTAGGACAAAGTTAAACTTAGCCTCACCCACCCACCCGGTCGTCCTCACATTATTTTCTTCTGAAATAAGATTAGCATAACAAAAACATTACGATTTCTGGTTTTTTCTATTAGTTCCCATTCCCACTATACAGAAGATCATATAATTGACCCCGCCCACCCACCCCAACTTCAGTTCAGTGATTCATTTTATCTGGTTACAATGAAAGGGGGATCTTATACTGAACAATAATAAAATCGTTAGAATAAGACCAGCGCGGGTGGGCGGAGCTAGAATCTGGCAAGACAAAACTGATTTTGGCAAGTCAGATGTCCTCCAAGAATAGTAGAGGGTGGGTGGGCGGGGCTAGTTCTTGATAAGATAAGAATCATTTTGGCAGATGGCATATCCTCTAAGAAAATAGAAGGCGGGTGGGCGGGGCTAGTTTTTGGAAAGATAAGGATAATTTTGGCAGATGACATATCCTCTGAGAAAATAGAGGGTGGGTGGGCGGGGTTAGTTCATGGTAAGATAAGAATAATTTTGTTGCCCCGCCCACCCACCCCTCTTCCATTGTGATTACTCATTTTGTTGGTGCTGAGACGGAAGTTGGATTCTGTATTGATAAATATAGAATCTAGGATAATATGTTTCTAAATATATTTTTACTCAGTTTTAATTTTTTTCGAAAAACGACCAATCAGCTTTTACAATCAAGTAATAAAAAATCATATAAAGTAAAAAATTCGAATCAAATAATAATGTTGTCATTAATTAACAGTATTAAGAGTGGTCATAAGAATGAAGAGGCGGTGGGTGGGTGGGGCTATCCTTGCTTCAAAGACTCTGTAGGACAAAGCTAAACTTAACCCCACCCACTCACCCGGCCGTCCTCACATTATTTTCTTCTGAAATAAGAAATAAATCCGTGCAATTAGCATAACAAAAAAATTACGATTCGTGCTTTTTTCTATTAGTCCCATTTCCATTCTACAAAAGATCACATAATTAACCCCGCCCACCCACCCCTACTCCAGTCCAGTGATTAATTTTATCTGGTCACAATGAAAGGCGGATCTTATACTGAAAAATAATAAAATCGTTAGAATGAGACCAGCGCTGGTGGGCGGGGCTAGAATCTGCCAAGACAAAACTGATTTTGGCAAGTGGGATGTCCTCCAAGAATAGTAGAGGGCGGGTGGGCGGGGCTAGTTCTTGGTAAGATAAGAATCATTTTGGCAGATGACATATCCTCTAAGATAATAGAGGGCGGGTGGGTGGGGCTACTGTTTGCTTCAAAGACTCTGTAGGACAAAGTTAAACTTAGCCCCGCCCACCCGTCCGTCCTCACATTATTTTCTTCTGAAATAAGAAATACATCTCTGCAATTAGCATAAGAAAAAAATACGATTCGTGCTTTTTTCTATTAGTTCCCATTCCCATTCTACAGAAGATCATATAATTAACCCCGCCCACCCACCCCAACTCCAGTCCAGAGATTCATTTTATCTGGCCACAATGAAAGGCGGATCTTATACTGAACAATAATAAAATCGTTAGAATGAGCCAACGCGGGTGGGCGGAGCTAGAATCTACTAAGACAAAACTGATTTTGGCAAGTGGGATGTCCTCCAAGAATAGTAGAGGGTGGGTGGGCGGGGCTAATTCTTAGTAAGATATTAATAATTTTGCCAGATGACATATCCTCTAAGAAAATAGAGGGCGGGTGGGCGGGGCTACTATTTGCTTCAAAGACTCCGTAGGACAAAGTTAAACTTAGCCCCGCCCACCCATGCGTCCTCACATTATTTTCTTCTGAAATAAGGACGAAATCTCTGCGATTAGCCCCACAAAAAATTACGATTCGTGTTTTTTTTCTATTAGTTCCCATTCTACAGAAGATCATATCATTGACCCCGCCCACCCACCCCAACTCCAGTTCAGTAGTTTATTTTATGTGGTCACAATGAAAGGCGGATCTTATAATGAACAAAAATAAAATCGTTAGAATGAGAACATCGCGGATGGGATGTCCTCCAAGAATAGTAGAAGCCGGGTGGGCGGGGCTAGTTCTTGATAAGATAAGAATCATTTTGGCAGATGGCATATCCTTTAAGAAAATAGAGGGCCGGTGGGCGGGCCTAGTTCTTGGTAAGATATGAATAATTTTGCTAAATGACATATCCTCTAAGAAAATAGAGGGGTGGTGGGTGGGGCTAGTACCTGTTAAGGTTGATTTTGGTAAATGCCATTCTCTAAAAAAGAGAGGGTGGGAGAGCGGGGTTAGTACTTGCTTAGATACTAATCTAATAAAATTGAGAATATTGAAAATGCCTCTAGCGAACTTTGAAAGGGCTCTATTTACGATAACGTTAAAAAAATGCCATGATTTTTTCCAACAAACAAACGAATACGACTAAATCGTCCTTTTTATCCCGGAATTATAAAATTTTTGTTTTTTTGTTTCGTAGAAATTAGAAACTCTACCACCCAAGTGCTCCACCGTAGATAAGAAATACATTTTTTAAATTTTATACATAGAGAAGTGTCTTAGAGCTCAATAGTTTCATAATTTAGTATTCACGCCATTACTAAAATGGGCCTAATGAATTCTTGAAACGCCTCTATAAATAATAATTTTGCGGAAAACCGCCATTTCTTCGAAATAACGTGGTTTGCTGCTAAATTACGCTTTGCACTCGTTTTCCAAGTCTTTTCCTTTCCCCTAAAATTACTGAATTTTTTTTAAAACGGCTCTACTTTTATAGATGTGAAGTTTCAGGAGTTTTTTAGAATGAAAAATCCACTGAGGAAATTGTAAATACCTCTAGTGCTCAATGTGCTTCATAATTTGGTA